AAGTGAGGAAGCCGATGACTCCGCAGCCCCTTTGAGTGCCATGACCTTTTCTATTTCACAGCTGATCAGCGGCGACCTTTAGCAGCCAGTTAGATTCCTCCTCCAGCTCTAGCCTTTCACAGAAACACAGCAGCACGGCCGTACGAGTCAGCAGGTATATGAAGAGCCCTAGAACCCTATCAGGTGTCATCAGAGTGACATTAAACAAGAGCAAGAAATAAACTAAAAATTAGACCTGGGCAGAAATACGGTATATACATGGAAATGTATAGATGGTAGAATGTAGAAATAGTCTACATTCATTTGCAAATAATAATGAAATCATTTGGGGTGAATGCATTTCATTTGTAAAATATTTAATTAACTAGATTATCCAAAAATAGTTATGTAATATATCAAACTAAATTAAATTCAACAAAAATCATTAAGTATTATAAAATTACCAGTGTTGTTATTAACTAAAACTATTACAATTGTTTTTGTTAAATAAAATAATACTGAAATGAAATAAAATATAAATATTAGATAAAAACTTAATTTAGAAATGTTGCCTTGGCAACTGACTAATTTTAAACAATAAAATGAGTTAAAGATTCTAAAATCAGTACAAATAAAATAAAAATAAATCAAAGTTAAATAATAATAATATAAAAAACATAAGCAAACATAACATAAAAAATTTAATTAAAATGAAAAATACAAATATATAAGCTAATTTAAAAATAATAAAAAATACTATAATAGTGTATAAATTACACAAACAATTAGGCTACTTCATTTTAAAATTACCTGTAATACATTTAATATATGGGATTTTGGAACTGAACAGGACCAGCTTAGATTATCATTGAATTGCTGGTTTATATGCACCAATATTAACATTTTGGTTGAAACTGATAAGACAATAATTCATTACATGTTATTGCCAATAACCAATAAATGGTGAACAAATCTTTACTGTTTTAGTCTAAATAAATTAAAAATAAAGCACTAAAAACTAAAATTAGTAGTTTTAAATTGAATTTACTTTTCATCATCAAAAAATTAATTTTGAAATTTGCTAAAGATTACATTTAAGTGTTATTTAGCTTTGCTAAAAGTGATGAATGATTTGCTACTTGCTGTTGACTGTGGTGAAAATGCAGTTTTGATTTTGATGGATTTAAGTGCCGCTTTTGACACAGTTGATCACGACATCCTTTTGTCACGCCTTGAACATTGGGTAGGTATTAAGGATACAGCATTATCGTGGTTTAAGTCATATCTTAAATCCAGGACACTTCCAGTGGCTATCGGCCAATTTTCCTCATCATCAGTTTCTCTCCCTTGTGGGGTTCCTCAAGGGTCCATTCTGGGGCCATTACTTTTTAATCTGTACATGCTTCCACTTGGTAATATAATTAGGAAATATAAAATCTCTTTTCATTTCTACGCTGATGATTCTCAGTTATACGTTCCATTAAAATCGAAACATTCTCTGCAGCCCCTTATGGACTGTCTGAAGGACATTAAAATCTGGATGGCGAATCATTTCCTCCAGCTAAATAGTGAAAAAACTGAGGTGATTATTTTTGGTCCCTCTAAAACCAGAAACTCTATAGTTAGTAACTTAGACAGTCTCACTCCATATGTTAAGTCACATGCAAAAAATTTAGGTGTTATTTTTGACTCTGAGCTTTGCCTTGAAAAGCAAATTAGCTCAGTTGTTAAAAACAGCTATTATCAATTGAGAATCATTTCTAGACTTAAATCAACACTTTCCTTTCAAGACTTGGAAAAAGTTATTCATGCATTTATCACATTACGATTGGACTACTGTAATTCCTTATACCTACGTCTTCCCCAATCTTCACTGGCTCGTTTGCAGATGGTCCAGAAAGCAGCAGCCAGATTGTTAACTGGTGCAAAAAAACGTGATCATATCGCTCCAATTTTAGCGTCGCTCCACTGGCTTCCTGCTTCCAAAATTTTGTTGATTGTTTTTAAAGTACTTAATGGACAAGCCCCATCATACATTTCTGATCTTATCTCATTTAATTCTGCTCCCAAGTCCCTCAGATCTGCTAATAAAGCTCTTTTATATGTCCCACGGTCACGACTTAAGTTTAAAGGTGACAGAGCCTTTGCAGTAGCTGCTCCACGGTTATGGAATCAGTTGCCACCTGACATTAAGAGTGCTCCGTCAATTTCGGTTTTTAAGTCTAGACTTAAAACACATTTTTATTCTATGGCCTTTCCTGATTTTTAAATTTACGGATTAGTATTGTTATCTTGGATTTTAATTTGTATTTTATTTGATACTTTACTGTATTTTATGATAGTTTTGTACAGCACTTTGGTCAGTGTAAGCTGAATTTAAATGTGCTCTATAAATAAAATGTACTTATTAAATTATTAGTGTTTTTAAAGATTAACTAAGGTAGCATAAGATGACGTTCTAAACATAAAAGATAAAGTCTAAAGAAAAACAATCATGAACAGTTGAATATCCAAAAATTGACCAAAAAAAATTTCGAAAAAAAAACAAAAACAACGCTGCAACATCAGCAGATAATTAGGACCAACATCAAAAACACAACATATTCTGATGGAAGCCATAAAAGACAAAATCTTTAAAAAGCTTCAGGAAAGATAATAATAACTGTTGTGGATAAAATAAAAATACAGACACATTATGGTCACTCAGCAAAAGAAAAAAAAACGCATTTTGATGCAGCCATTAATGAGAAACCTGAGCATTTTAACCCTCATTTGCATAACCTTTCAAGTACTTCAGTGAGGTGAAGTAATATTTACATAAAGTTTACAGTCATTCCTTTATTCACGAGTCCTCACATGCTTCAGCCAAGATACACATCAGCTAAACCAAAGATATCCCAGCATACCTCTGTGCTCCCTGAGTGGATGGCTTTGTCCACATTTAGCAGTGATTGATCCTCCGCTTGACACACAACATTTGACCACAACGCGCAGCTTTGATGAGCCCAGCACTGACCTGCAAACACAAGGAATCAGAAGATGGCATGGGACCTTTAAAGCTAAATCTCTTTATTTCTTTTCAATCATACATTACATTCTTTCTTCTGTTTAACACAAAAGGGGACATGCTACCGAAGCTCTCATTTAGTGTTTTACAGAAGACAGAAAGTCACATGGGTTTGACCAGCATAGTAAAGATAGTTACAGGCAGAACAGCCATTCAAGTTCATTTTACTGTTCTAACAATTTCAGTTCCTCACCTCAAATAAGTGTGATGTGTCTGACTACACTGTCTAGTTTCAGGCTGGTTCCTGACCAAAGCCTTCAGGCTGTGTTTTTTTTATCTTCATTAAATCATTCTCTGTATTATTTTAACATATTAAAATAAATTTCAACAGCTTGTTATGACAAAGAAAACTTTTCAAAATTACAGTATTTTCTATTGTTAGCTTTTCTCTGTCTGTGCCTAGGTAAAGTTTTTAACAGGTTTTTACCCGACTCATCAAAGAGTGTTTGGACATCAATGCCATCTGGCAGACCGACGTGGCGGAGCTCCTCCCAGAATCTGCCTCCTCCTTCCTCGGCCCGGACACTGCAGGACAGAGACAGAGTGATTACAGGGGATCCGGTTTAGTCTTACACCATGTCCTAACCAAGATTATCTGTTAGTCTGATCAGTGGCGGATAGGAGAAAGTGACATTGTTTGAAAACTATGGATGTGCGCTACGACTAATTTCATTGCCATTTAAACAGAAATTTTGTAGTCGACTAGTCTAAAAGTAAGAAACCCTCAGAAGACAGTCAAACCCACAATGACATTGACCAAGCAAATAAATGTAGTAAACAGCATAAAAATGACATATTATTTCCATGTTTTTGCCACAAAGTTAAATTTTATTATATACGGAAAGCACACACTCTATTTTCTCCCACTCTCTCTCCCTTACAAACGCACACACATATAGTACACACACACAGAAATGTGTTGTCAGCGCTGCTCTGACCAATTCATCAGTAAAACAGCTCAATAACATAAAAAGCTACATGTCATTCCTCACAAGCGATGTAACAACGGCGCTGTTCTTGAAACAGATGAACATACAGTTTCACTTAGGCCTGGGCGATAAAACGGTATCGATATTTATCGACGGTACACCTTCGATATCGATAGAAAAAATGTTCGATATAGCGCACGATATAGGCACGTACTATGAGTGATTTTTATGAGTTAATTTAGACGTAATGCACGTTTTTATAGAGTTACTTGCTAAATGCGCTGCATTATTTTGCTCATTGCGCCCTCCTGTGGCCTCGGGAGACAATTAGACCTATACAATAAAGACCTATTTAATCTGCATACAAAACATTAGAAATGAGATATTTATTTAATTTTTATTGTGTTTGATTGTTAAAACAAAAAAATATTTGTTGTTTGTCTCAATAAATTGTATTAATTATAAATACAGTGGTTAAATTTAAACATTTTTTTCTATTGCTTTTTGTTTTAAAAAAGGTTATAAAAAATATAAATAATTATCGATACCGAACGATATGAAACATATCGTTGATACATTTTTTAGCTATATCGCCCAGCCCTAGTTTCACTATTAGTAGAAATGCTGCTGCCCAACACTGTTGAGAGACGCAAAGACACACAGATTAATTTCTCTCTCTCTCTCATTTAAGGACAAAAACCTGACAAATGTCTTGGAATACAACATCTGAACAACATTTGAGGTGTGGTTACCATAGTATAAGCAGAATAATTGACTCCGGTCTGTTGAATTATTAGAAAACATTGCACACCCGAGCTTTAGGAAAGATGCTGATGCTTCGCGTCGTGGCCGCATCATGGATGTGCACTATTTTCTAATAATTCAACGGCCCATCGTCAGTTATTTCTTACGTAATCTTATTATCTGAACTGATTTTATTTCCCATGAAACGGTTAAAATTTACAACACTGGCAGCAACAAAAGCAGCAGATGGGACGAATGAAAATGCAAATTCACTCTCTGACAGTAGGTGGCGCTTTTGGACAAGCAGAAATACAGTGCTTAACCATGGTTACCCCTGCAAACAAAGCAGCACTGTGCATATAAACACTATTTTATTAGGCATTATATGCAGATAACATGGGGGGAAAAAGTGTCAACGAAACCTTTCTGAAGTCAGTTCCCGTTCATTCATAATGTTTCCCCCTTTGAACCGCTAAATACATTCCCACACCTTGCTCGTCTTCCAAGCGGACATTTCCCTGAGCCCACAGCGAGTGACACAGAAAACTCCTGCACGCGAGGTCTGACTTGAAATGAAAAAAAATTCAGTTTTCCACATTAAAACATTAAAATGACTACATTTCGACTAGTATTTCCAATGTCAACTAGCAGCTGCAGTTACATTTAGTTGACTAGTCAACTCCCAACTGAAAACAGTCATAGTTTTTTCATTTGCATTTCCATTTGGTGACCTTTTTAAAGGGGTCATGACATGAGAAATCAAATATATGGCATATAAGAGATCTTTGTACCATTAAAACATTCTGCAAGTGTCATAGCTTAAAATGCCCTTCTCAGTACAAAAAAAAAATTATGTAAACAAGCTACCAAAATGACTTGTTTTGGATGTTGTGGGATCTGTGCTGTCATATGATCAAACACATTTGCATATGACTGCCTCCAGAGCAAGATATCGACAAATAGTTACACAGCATCCCACAATAGGCTCCGCCCACTGGCATTCAGTCGCTTAACAGCCAGAAACCTGTTTACACCAGACACGAGCATTGCATTGCATCTAGTGTTGTCAAAAATACTGATGTCTGTACTAGTCTGTACTGAAATTTTAAAAATGTGACAATGCCAGCATTTCCCTCAAGCATTTTGAGCGCTGTTGAGTGGATTCTTAAACACCTCTGATTGGCCATTGTGTTCACATGCTCAACAGATATGATGTCTGTGATTGGCTACAATGATCATCGCTTCACGCTCTTCATCAAGCGCTTACATAGATACACACAGGAGTGTTTGAAAGCCACGTCTAGATGCGTCAAAATTAACAAACCAATGATGATACTTACATTTAATTTCATGAATAGATTAACCATTATATCAAGAGCAATAAGGGACTGTTTCTGTAATAATAATAGTGCGACCACTCTGCCACAGAAAATCAGAGATGTGATTTTCCAAAATATGTTTCCTTTGAATGTAGAACATTTACAGAACCTTTCATTGGTCTGGCACCAGCTTATTCTCAAAATATGTCACAATGTCAGTCTGCCAAATATCAAATTAGATCACCCAACTGCATCCAAGTCCAATTAATCCCTAAACAAACGGTCTCTGGCTGCTCTGCCTTTACATTTATGCCACTAATAATGGAATAAGCAGCGGAAAACACTGAAATTGGTCATTTGTATTTCTGCAACAGCTTTCATTGATTCTAGTGGTTCAACGGATCACAAATCTCACGGTTCAGAACACATTACGGTTTTTGACTCATGGATCGGCTGTTCAGAGGATTCAGAAGAGGATTCAGTTCAGTGTTCGCGCGCCATCTGAAACGCATGTGCGCGCTTCATGTGTGTGCGGCTGTGCGTGTAGAGAACAGCGCACGAGTAACGAATCGAGTTCCCTTTCGCCTTTTCTCTTTGGAATTGTTGGAATTGTTTGGAATTGCTTGTGTAAATACGAACAAATGATAAACTTATACTCTATTATGGTTAAATTTTGCAATTAATCCGCGGATCACATGCGTGCCGAACCGTGGGGCTTGGTCCGTACGGATCACGGATCAACTACGATCCGTTTAACCACTAATTGATTCATTTACAAATAGTTTTACTAACACCTAAAAATTCTTTGTCTAGGTAAGTAACAATCACCTGGGTTATTTTAGTTAAATAAAACTCATCTCTTTCTCTCTATATATAAACAAATAAAATATATGCTAACTGAAATAAAACTAAATATAAAAAAAACTATAATAGTATCTCAATACTAAAATAACACTGATCCAAATTTACTTTATATTCATTATTTATTAATTACTTTATATAATTTATTTCATATGTTTGTATTCCTAATTGTTCCCTTTCAGTTCTTCGAGAGCTTAATATACTCTTAGCATGCTGTTGTAGTAAATAAGAATCTTGTTTTTATGTGACTTGCTTGGTTAAAAAAACGTACAATTAACAAAATGAATAAATAAAATAAATACTGTGTATACATTTTTAATGCAACATGTAAATTTATTTTAATTTAACATTTTTTGTAATGCCAATTCAATGATTATTCATCTGTAAATTATCTATAAATTGTGCTTGTCTATAAATTATCTACATTTAGGCTTTTTCACTAATTATAATGATAATGAAAGTGCAGTTGATTCGATATTAATTAATATGAACATATGTACTTAACTCAATTAAAATGTTTCCCAGCCCTAATTCCTACAGAGCAAATACAGACTGAGATGAATGTGTACATGCTCTCTTAACTGCTGGCCCTCTATCATGAGCCACTGGCACCAGAAGAGTGTTAATTTATTCTTGACATTCAGGCACTGGAGGGGTTTGACTCACAGCCATTTTAATTTAGGTATGGGGGGGGGGTTGTGTGGGATGGTGCTGATTGATTAACCACTTACACAGAAATGACTCATCGTAAATACATCATGGGACAAAAATGTATCTATCACATCACGGCGCATCTCATTACACCCCTCCTCTATCCACCTGCTGGGACGGCTGACATATACGAGGGGTCAGTGTGTGCTGCCGACTGACATTGAGTAATCCCACGACAATAGATGGGGATGATACGAAATATAATTTCTGAGAACGATGTGCCATATTATTTTACCAAGTAGCGCTCATACTGTATATACAAATGTGATTTCATGCTATTTTACATAATTTAACAAAGCAATTAAATGATGTACACTAGCCAACACACTCAATCATGGAAACCAACAGTAGCCTATATAGCTACCATGCAATGATGGAAATGTAATAATTATATTAAATAGTAAAAATAATGACTTTTGTGTTACAGTACGGATGATAAATTAGCGGCTTTACAATTAAATTCTATTTTGTCTAAATAAATAAAAATGATACACTAAAAACGTTTTAAAGATTAAGTGAGTGTAAGATGACAGTACAAGTAATCTTAATTTAAAAATAAGGAAAATGAGCATTAACAATTAAATATTTAACAAGGGCCAATACTAAAAGAAAAAAAGAAAAAAGTGCTGTAAAGTCGTAAAATACAAGTAAATAAATATTTCCCAAATATACAAATATCTAAGAGAAATATGTGGTTAACTGTCATAAAAATAATGCCATAATGAAAAAAATCTTTAAGAAAAAAATAAGTTAAAAGGCCACGACAACTGAGGACAAAAAAAAATGCAGTTAATGGTCAAAAAAATAATGTCATAATGGAATAAAATAAATAAATAAATAGACTTAAAGAAAAACACACTTTTCTTTTGTTTATGTGGTGAACTCTGTGATATTCCTGACAGTTAGGTGAGATTCACTCCAGTGTTTCCCACACATAGACTTTACTTGGTCAGGCCGCCAA